ATGCATATATGCATATAAGTAATGGATCATTTTTGATAGTATATAATTAATGAGTTGTTAGCACAGTGTATTGGAAAAGTGTGGCCATATATATCAGAAGACCTGAAATCTAATCTTGATTTCAGAATAATGCTTAAATTAAAACACAAAGTAATATCATCTATTCCTTTCTGCAAATGATGGGTTAGGCTAATTTTTTCCTTGTACTCCAAAAGAAGAGTTTTTTTCTTTTTTAAATCATCACCCAAGGATATCTTTTTATTGATTTTTAGAGAGAGAGGCAGGGATGGAGAAAGAGAGAGAAAGAAACACTGATTTGAGAGAAAAACATTGATCAGTTGCCTCTCATATGCGTTCCAACTGGGGATCAAACCCACAACCTAGGTATGTGTTGGGACCAGGAATTGAACCCACCACTTTCTGGTATAGGGGATGAGGCTCACCAGCTGAGCCATCTGGCCAGGGTAAGAGAAGAGCTATTTTCAGTTATAATGAGTCTAAAGTAAACCCAGTAGTGTAGGTTTTTCCTTTTCTCAATCCTACCCACACTTTTTTTTTCTAGTAACATGTTTTTTCCCACCAAACTAACTCAGCTTTTGACCACCCTGAAAGCCACACAGTTTGTCTTTTCAAGGCTTGGAAAGAGGTACTATCATTGTGATATTGGAAGTTATCATATATGACATTGGACATAGCATTTTTGCCTACTGCTAACCCTTGTCCAAGAGTCTGTGTCCTGAAGCCTTTGTAAAAACATCTCAACAGGTATGAATTCAAAAAGCCCATGTATGCCTGGCTCAACATAAAGGAAACACATAAAATGAAGCCATGTGGTTTATGTGCAGTTCTGATAGGCATACAGAAGGAATTTGTTATGAAAGCTGTTCCTTTATTCAAGGATTTGTGAGCACATATTATGTTTTCTTGATAAATAATTTTTCCATGGATTGTTTATAATAGCAGCTGGTAGACTTCTGTGGTGTTCTGTTGCTTATCTCCAACAAGAGAACAGGCACAATACAAATAGTTATGCATTACCTAGACTTCCATTTGCAATAAGGAACACAGACAATGCCATACCAAAGTGAGTTTATTGACATTCCTTGAAGGTGATATGAGGGAAGAGAAAGCTTGGCCTGAGTATCACGTGACATTTCTCTTGTCAATGGAAGCAAAATCAGCCCAATAATGTGGACTTCTCCTGCTATTGACTAGAACAAAGACTTTTAGCAAAATTGTTATAGGTATTTCCTTAGATAATTCAGAAGCTGCAGGAAGTAGGCTGATGGACTGACATTTACTCTATAGTCTACCTGTTGGCATCTATTTTTTTCTATTGGAACAAAGGAACTCTATGTCACTAATAGGAAAATAACACTTTCTCTTTTGATCTTATGAGGGCTGGAACACCTATCCTAAATTTTTATGTTATAGAATGGAAGCAATAGTTTTAGTGAACACAAAAATAAATAATAATAATCATAATAAAAATAATAAAGCACCACATTTGTTATGTGAAAGTCTAACTAGTTTCATTTGAAAGTATTTCATCTTGACTTTGAAAAAATTTGTGGCAACTGAGAAATTTCCTGAACCCCAAATTTGGACACACGGTTTGACACATGGACTGACAATGTCATCAATGTAGTATTTAAATGTCCTGGAAAGTCCAGTTCATTGACTTGCACAAAAATACACTTACTGTGAAAGGACATAGGGACGGACATATGTTAAAGGAGAACACATTTAGACTTTTGTCATATTTAAAGCCTGCCAAAAATATATATCTTTCTTAATTTTGCATTGCCATTCAAAAAATTGTGCTACAATAGTGATGGTTAAAATTTTTTCTCAACTTATATATGCAAGAAGTTACAAAGAACTCAGGATATTTAGAATACTTCTGATCCTACAGAGTCAATTTTCTATTTTTAAGATTATTGTCTTCATATGACAGAATAAAATGTGATATCCATGAAATTAATAATACTTTATACCATTTCAAAAGCATTTTTTCCAATTGTAACATGTTTTTCTCTTTTGTATTGTTCTTGTTTATCCCTCAATTAAAGGTAATATACTTTACTAAAACTAGCTCTAAAAGATCTTGTTTTAGAGAAAATGCTGTTTATAAGTGATTAGTTTTATAATATGTCATAGAGAAAACTCATACTTTAAATGAAGAAAAAAATACAAGTGGTAACAAATAGATCTGCCTTGCCCATTAAATTATATAACTTGGGTGGTTTACATCTCCATCTGTGAAATTAATAGCATTATTTAGTCCTATAGCTGTTTTATTATATATAATGAAGAATTATACATAATTTAAAAATCAGCCTCATGTATGAGGAAATATTAACTAAGAAAACATCTTTCAGAACATAGAAAAAAATAAAAAGGATCTTTCTGTAACAATTATCTGTATTCCTTTTCTCTTTGTTTTTCTTCCTTAAGGAGTCTATCAAAGGCTTTAATGGAATCTGGGACCCTGTTAAGCAAGCTATGCATTCTTTCAGCTGACTTTGACAACAGGGTTTTTTGAGACTTTATACTTTTATGAAACACTGTTCCTGTAATGCTTTTTGAGATACATCTAGAGTCATGGCATTGGGAGCAGGGGTAGGTAAAAAAAACCCATTTATGATGAAGTTATCTATCTATATATAATTTCTAGAATATCTTTTTCCTTCTGCATATGGGTGGAATAGATATTAATTAATCTAATCAATAGATTAATTAGATATTTGTACAAATTATAAAACAGGTTCCATTTTTAACAGCTTTCTCTCTTGCCAATGCCTAACAAATAATATAAGTACTAAAAAGAGAATTGATTGCTTGAATTAATGAGTATTTACATACATGTAACACCAAGTTCTAAAAATAATAGATGCCTCCTACACTAGAAGGTCCAGCTCATTGGCTTGCACAAAATAACTTATTGTTAAAGGACATATGGTTATGTATTAAAAGAGAACGGCAGCAGTAGTTTTATCCTGGTACGTATTAAAGCATTAGAATTGTGAAATGATCAGCATAATCCTTATGTTCTGATTTCATAAATAAATAATAGCTCCATTGGAATCGACAATTTTTCAGATATTGAAATGTATACTGAATTTTATAGGTTCCCAAATTCCATATTATGTAGCTTACACATTCAATTCTATCTTGGGAAATCTTGTTTCTAGACGACAACTGAAAGCTAAATTTCTATAACATATATATTCCCTGATTGACAAAAAGTACACTGCAGCGAGGGGTGCTGGGCATTGTAAATAATCCCTACTAAAAGAATGTTTCATATTGGAGTGCAAGGAACACAATGCATGTCCAAACACAGACTAATGTAATGAGAACAAGGCTTGGCTTCATAGGAAATTAACTTTGTCTTATGTTTCTCACCAGTTTTTCTTCGTTTCCTGTATTAATAAAACAAAAATGCAACATTTCAACAGTGGAGCCCTTTCAGCTCTTCTTTTCCCAGTGAAGAAAAACACTTTTCATGTGTGACATATTTCAGACAACATGGATAACAAGGTTAGAAAAATAGCAAAGGAGCATTATGCCTGGGTTTAGAATGTCTTTGGAGCTTGCAGTTGTTTTTCTGGAAACACTAAGTTTTCTGTGCTATCTCTTTACTGAATGCTAAAAGAAACTAATATCTATTTTGACACAAATCAACATGCCTTTGAGGTGTTAGGGCTCTGCTCTGGGAGGATTGCTATGAATGAAAAAGCACTATACTGCCCTTGACCCCTAACAAGCACCATCGCTATCTGCAGCTTCTTATTTAGTGTGGTCCCTGTGGACAATCAGATGTGAAGGAATTTGAATGCCATAATTAAGAAAACAGCATGAAAAATCAATATTCAAGTTAAAATAAAAATTTGTTTGCCGTACAAGTAATTACCTGGCTTTAACAGAAGTCATGAGATTATCTATGCATTTTTTCCCCCTTTGTGTGGGAGAACTGTAGCGAAACAGAACAAAACAGTACAGCACTCAGGTATTTAAACCAACCTACTATGTGCCCCTTCTCTTTTTCCTGTTTGCTTCATCACATTGTATATAACACAATGGGGGCAGAAGCCTTGTCGTTTATATTAACTACATAATGAGACATCCTTCTTGGACATGTGCACGAGTTTGTGCTTCTTGTGTGGTGACTGTTCCTGAAGGGTGTGTCCCGCTTAGAAGCCACAATCCCCACAACCATTGGGATGCATTGTGTTGCATCAGGAAAGGTGTTTATCTCGCTGTTATTATTTGTTGGAAAGTGTCATATTTGCACCATATGTTTAGGCTAGTTCCAGCTGATGGGACTGATGCCACATATAAATTATGAGTTGAATGTAATAAAAAATTTTGGGTTTTCTACTGCTGCTTTTGCATGGATATATGCACAGGGAAAAGTAGAGCGGAGGGAAAGAAAGAGTTGATCAACTCCTAGTTTTAGAGTTGGTTGTTAGAAATTATATATTAAAAAAAAGGTGGCTCTGCTCAGAAGACATGGGCATATAAAAGCTTGGAATGCTTAATGCTTACAATTTTCCCTTAAATTATATAAATGGAAGTAAACATTTATTACTATTTGGTCAAGAGTAGCATAACTAGCATTCATATTTCATTGTTAGTAATGGAGGTATGTGGAGATATACACAGATCTTGAGACAGCTGTTTTTTAATATTGCATACAGGCTAGCAGTTCATTGAAAATAGAGGAGATAAGCCTGAAGGTTATATCTTAGAAGAAGGCAGTTCTTCATGCACAGCTTTTGTCCATTCTGATTTGGTTTGAAAATAAAAATCATGAAGTACCAACATCAAAGAAGAGTTGATTCAAGGAAAGGGAAAAGGAAAGGGGGATTTTTCCAGAAAGGGTGGTGTCACTGTCCAGGAAAATGTCAGGCGAGTTTCCATTTCTTTATTCAAGTCCAAAAGTGCTAGTTTCTTCTACTGCTGTTAACAACTTTTCATATAACATGGAGTATGAGGGATAAGGTGGAAGATCCAATCTGTTGAAGCATGTGTGTGCCCTGAATGGGGGAGAAAAGATTGGTGAAGGTGCTTGTTTCAGTGATATAACTGGTTAGGATACATCTCTGAGCAGTCTGAAGCAGTGATTCAGAAGTTAGCAGAACCACCATAAAACATTTCGAACTAAGAAACATAGCCGTCTAGACTTGAATAGACCAGTTGAGGAAGTAGACTAACTAGAAACAGGTGGTTTGCATTTGTTAGCAAACCACACTGAACTAGAACTACACTAGCAAACCAACGGTGTCGGTTTTCTTTTGCAGTTAAGGTGTGAAAGTGAGTGTGGTTAGTGAAGGAGGCAGAAATGTAATTAGTATTGGAGGGTCATATTCCCAAGCCTCCTTGCCCACCTCTGACTTCTGGGTCTTAGTAAACCACGTACGTAGATTTAGAGATGCCAACAGATGGCTTGGAATTCTGAGATACAATGCTCTTTCAGGTCAGGTGTGCCCTGGAGACAGTCCAGCTTCTCTACAGTTCCCGGTGGGACAGATAGTCTGCATTTCTAAGAACAGCTGAGCTTGTGGGATAGTCCTCCCTGGTTGCCTAGAGTGTCCCTTGCTACCTTCCCTGATTTCTGCTTTACTTGCCATGTGCTTCATCGTGCAGACTCACACATGCCAGTATCTGGCCTAGACAAGAAATGGCTTCCCTGCCATGTGCTGACATATGAACCAGGAACAGACCCATGTCACCTGTGCAGGCCTTAGAAGCCCAGGCCACACAGAATCCTCCTATGGAACTTCAAATGGGCCTGACTGGCTGCACCCTATCAGAAGTTCTTTGTTTTTAGAAAACCTAGGTTGATGCCACATCCTATACCAAAGTAGGAAGAAAGGTAGATGGGTGCAGCTGAAGGTTAATTGAATGCCTTTTCCTCCCTAGAAGGGGTGGTAATTTGAAATGGTGTTTTGAGAAGCCAACCAGCACAGAAAAGGGCACTATAAAATAAAATCTATACTAAAAAAAGGGTAATGTGCTAATTAGACCAGACATCTTCCAGACATCCTTCTGGACAGAGCCATGTTGGCGGGGGCTGAGGCAGAGGCAGTTAGGGCCGATCAGGCCAGCAGGGGAGAGCAGTTAGGGGGCGATCAGGCCAGTAGAAGAGAGCAGTTAGGGGAGATCAGGCAGGCAGGCAGGTGAGTGGTTAGGACTAGTGGTCCCGGATTGCAAGTGGTCCCGGATTGCCGGTAGTCGGACATCCCCTGAGGAGTCCTGGATTGGAGAGGGTGCAGGCAGGGCTGAGGGAAACCTCCCCCCCTCCTGTGCATGAATTTTGTGCACCGGGCCTCTAGTAATAACATAAAATAACAATAAAATACTTTTAAAAGTCACAAAACAAACATACATATAAACAAAACTAAACAAAATCCTAACCAAAAAAAAAATTTTTCCTTCATAAGAATTTTTTTGGGAATATTAAACTCTTCATTTAAATGACAAGATCCCCAGGAGAGTTGTATATTATTTATAACTTTGTTTTCAGAGTCCCAGTGATCAGGCTGCTGCAGTGCTCCGGGAATGGGGAAGATTGTTTGGGGGAGAGGGAAGGTGAGAAGAGGGGAGAGGGAAGGTGGGAAGAGGGTAGAGGGAAGGTGGTTTTCCTGCACAAGGAGAATTGGGGAGAATGTTGTTGTTTTTGCCTCCCTGCATCCATTCTTCCTTCTTTTGATAACAGCTTTCTCATTGGCCTTGGGAAACCCAGTGTGGGCACAGGATAATAGGGTATATGACCTTAAGGATTTAACTGGGAAGAAACATAAAAATAGGCCAAGATTAGCAGAGTCTCAGATTATTAACTAAGATTCAAATAGGCCTAAATTGACTTCTAAAGAAAATATTTTACCCAAGCTTACGTGTTTGAGTAGAAGTGGAAGAGTACTTTGTAAATCGAGTAGGATAACAGTTACAGTGGTTCTTCTCTATCTTTACAAAGATTGAAACTAGGACATACTTGGGGCTATGGCTAACTAAAGTAAGTGGGGCAGAAACATCCCAAGTGTGCGTTTGGAACTTGCTGAATTAGCCTAGAGCAAGATATGAGCAGGCATAACCTTCTTGGTTTTCTTTCTCTGATCCTTCTAACTGTCGCTCATGAGTGAAAATATTATAGAGAAAAATATCCCATATTTACAAAATACATTGATTCGGTCAAAGATAATTTCTGGGAGTAAACTGAAAGCAGTCGCCAATGGCACCTCTTCAAGACCCTGTCTGAACACCCAGAATTTCTTCAAAAATTACTTTTATCTACAGCCTTGATGAACTCCCTTAAATAAATTTCAGTTTGTAACCTAAAAACGTCTGAACACAACCCGGCCATTTTCCACCCCCAGGCCTCGCTCATGCTGCTGCCCTCCACCCATTCACTGCCCCTCAGTGCTCACCTAAATGCCAGCTTTTCGTGTGACATCTCCTTTGGTCTCAATCAGGGTTAGTTCTTTGTTCTATTTGCTTTTACTTTTCCTTCTTAGTGCCCCTCTGATTCTACCTTGTATGATGATGTCTTACTATCAGGCTCTTTTCCTCCCTAGACTGTAAGCCCCTCTGGGCAGGTATCTTGTTGTATCTCAGCCCTCCTCAAGGTGCACTATGGGGGTAAGCTATTGACAAATGGTGACTCAATCTCATTTCTCTAAAACCATAGCAGAATGTTTCCTGATGACTGCAGCCTACAAATCTATTATTAAAATAGACAAATGGAAATCTTGCCTTTTTGGGCTTATTTTCTTGCCAGACTTAATTCAGTAGGTCCAACTATCAGCAGAACCATGCAAATGAACAGTGAGGGTCTGCTGAACTCTGTGGGTAAATCCAGGGACGAACACTGCACCAAAGCTCTAGGCTGTTATTACTCAGCTAGGTATGAATCCTGTTTTCTGGGCCTCCTAATACATGGAAATTGCAGAATTGTCTTCAGGATATTCTGGGAATGTCAAATCTGAGAAGGCTATGAAAATAATAGTTTAGTAAATCCTTCCATAACAGGAACTCAGCAAAGGTATTTTGGGAGGGCATGTAGAAATAGAGTTGATTTTAATGTGAATCTTCTTTAATGATTAGAAAATATCGGTACAAGAAAATAATATGGATCAATCTTTTCTTCTGTTTGTTGGGCAGTATTTATTATAATAGTACCTAAACAGAAGTATCTTTTTACTGTTTCTTATTTCACTGACCAGGTTTATGCTACTCAATGTGGCATAGAAAAGACCCAGGAAGTGTTGGGATTAAAACTCATGTTAAAAGAAATTCATTCTGTTAAATTACCTGGATCCTTAGAACCTCCCTTTCTGCATTTATCTCACAATAAATTCCTCAATATCTTTAAAAAAAAATCCTCACTTGAAGATACATTTTATTGATTTTAGAGAGAGAGAGGGGAAAGAGAGAGAGAGAGAGAGAGAGAGAGAGAGAGAGAGATTGGTTGCCTTCCGTAAAAGCTCCTATTGGGGATTGAACCCAGACTGGGAACCCTTTTGGTGTATGGGAGGATGTTCCAATCAACTTTGAGCCACTCAGCCAAGGCCCACAATATCTTACTGCATAGAAGTCACTGTAGAGACCTGAGATATATGTGGTCCTATCCTCACATGTTTTAAAGCATAGTAAAAAAATTTGCAACATTTGAGCAACTACCCTACAGAGAATATCAAGTGATATGCTGTGAAGTACATACACAGAGCTGGGAAGAGTAACTTTGGGCTTCTAGCCTCTTCTCCCCCACACCCCTTGCCAACAGGTAAGACATTCCTCTTTTTTAAAAAAAGGTTTTCATTGCTTTTAGAGAGAGAGAGGAAGGGAGAGGGTGAAAGAGACAGAAACATCAATGGGCTGCCTCCTGCATGTCCCTTATTGGAAATTGAGCCTGCAACCTTGCCAGGGGGAGACATTCCTCTTTAAATTGTTTGGGCTACACACAGATCGTAAAGTTTCCCACAACTGATACATGGACCATGATATTATAGCCCAAATACCATCAATCATTAAAAAATCATTAAGAATATGGTATAAATTAACCTCCCAGAGACTTCTTACCTGCACCTTTCACTAATCTTCGATCCTATATAATAAAAGGATAATATGCAAATTGACCCTAACAGCAGAACAACTGGGGAATGACTGGTCACTGTGACACACACTGACCACCAGGGGGCAGACGCTCAATGCAGGAGCTGCCCCCTGGTGGTCAGTGCGCTCCCACATGGGGGAGCTCTGCTCAGCCACAAGCCAGGCTGACAGCTGCCGGCTGCCAGCACAGTGGTGGTGGCAGGATCCTTTCCCGCCTCCTTACCAGCGCTAAGAATGTCCAATTGCAGCTTAGTCCTGCTCCCTGCTGGCAAGTGGACATCCCCCGAGGGCTCCTGGGCTGCCAGAGGGATGTCTGATTGCCAACTTAGGCCCGATGCCCTGGAGAGCAGGCCTAAGCCAGCAGGTGGACATCCCCTGAGGGGTCCCAGACTGTGAGAGGGCACAGGCCGGGCTGAGGGACCCCTCTGAGTGCACAAATTTTTGTTCACCAGGCCTCTAGTATATATATAAAAGCCTAAGTGACCATCTGACCATCTGACTGGAAGCTATGATGTGCAATGACACCAGGGGGCAGACGTTCTGACTAGTAGCTATGATACACACTGACCAGGGGGCAGATGCTCAATGCAGGACCTGCCGAGCTGCAGTGACTTGGCAGCTGCAGTTCTCGGGTGACGCACCTGGAACCAGAGAGGAGGGAGCCCGATATTCTGGGGTGCGTCACCTGAGAACTGCCCTCTCACAATCCAGGACCCCTCAGAGGATGTCAGAGAGCCGGGTTCGACCTGATCCCCGGAGGCCAGGCTGAGGGACCCTACCGGTGCATGAATCTGTGCACCGGGCCTCTAGTAATTCATATAACAATACTTAGTGTTTCAGAAAAGAATTCTATGCTAAAGGATGATCACCCAAGCTCAAATAAAGTATACTTTGCTCTCTTTAGCAGGTTTCCTGAAGTTGGCAAAAGCCTCATACCTGGGTAGAGATGTAATTTTCCCCCATTTCTCTATGCAGAAGCGCCGCAGCCCATTGCTTCCTCGAAGGGCCGCGAAGCCTTCATAGGGCACACTTGATGTTCCTGTGACGAACTGAAGTAATCTTAACCTCTGCTCATTATTGAAGTGCTCCACCGCGGCCCAGAACCAGCGGATCACAAGATGCCCATCATGGTAACCTGAATGGAGCAAAAAGAGAGAGAATGAGAGGAAGTAGAAAAAAGAGGAAGGAGGGGAGGGAATGGAGAGATGAAATACACATCAGGGGTGGTAAGAACGAAACAGCTGCTTTTGATCTGCTGATTTCTGTAGTAATGGCCTGTAGGTAAGTCTAAAACAATGTGTGTAACTTGGTCAATTTTAAAAACAAAAGCAGATTTAGAAAGCACCCACTTTATAAAAATGATTATATGTTCTGAGAGATGTTCTTAGAGATGTTTGGGAATCCATCAGTCATTTCCTGCCTCATATGAATGTAGACAAGGAATGACTAGACTTAGTAGAGATCACTAGGATCCTTAAGAGACAAAACCCTCTATGAATACACTCTTTCATTTTATTTTCTGTTTTTCTGATGTCAGATCTTGGTAACTACATACCATGGAAGAGTCTAGGACTTAAGAAAGGCTAGAGGTAAAGGGCAAGCTTGGTTCATGGAAGATGCTGGGCTCTCCAGCAGCCACTGATACCTCCCCCTGGAGCAGCGGCGCTCAGGCCAACCATGGGCTGAGATGAGTTGGGCCCATAGAAGAAGTATGGAGCCCCTCTCACAGTACAGGTGAGAGACAAAGCTTGGATCAATTAGTTAAGGTAAATAATTTGCTGCTGACTTCAAATGCAAGAGACATTCAAAGGTGGGAGAAATCAATGTAGAATGGGGTAGAAGCAGGAAAACCTTCATAAAAAAGAAGTAAGGTGTGATTTAAATACGTGAAGGCTTTGTATGAGTGGAGGGAAAGAGGAGAACATTTCTGGCGGGGGAAATAAAGAATAACAAGGATGAGGAAGAAATATGGAGGACAGAGCAAGCCGACTGGTGAAGATGGAACGGAAATGGAACGGAAACCTGCTGGGGGAGTTAGAGGTCCTTACCAGCCAGACAGAGACATCTTGACTTGATACCTTAGGTCAGTGGTTTTCCTACCAGAATAAGAAGGGCCTAGAGTTCCACAAAGGCTTCTCATGGCTGAGTGCATTGGGGAGATAAGGTAGCCTGAGATGGCAGGCCCCCTGTGCCCTCTCTCTCTCTCTCTCTATTGTATTGATTGGGGTTTCTCTGTAATATGTTACATGAAGAAAGGGTTTTCAAACTGAAACTGTCAAAGAACTCTTCTATAAGTAATAAGGAGCTTGTTTTGTGGATAGGGAAGTAGCATGATGAAAATAATGTTCCAGGAAGGCTAGTTTGGTAGTGTGAAGGTGAATAGTTAGGAGGGATTAGAAATTGGTTTTGGAGAGACCACAGAACTGGTGTAGCAAACAAGGACTGAGGTAAAGATGGTGCCAATTCTATAGGAAGTGGGACACAATTCCCTGCCAGCATGCAACCCAGCTCAGGAGCTGGCTCATGGATGATGGTATCCCCTGATGAATCTGCTCTGAGTTAGGCCAGAGACGACCACGGGGATTATTGTCAGCTGAGGAAGGTTCAGGTTGGAAGATGGAGGAAGGCATATAGAAGAACCTGAATGAGTGCACATGTATTAAAGTACGAGCAAGTTTTTGTAGTCTTCAAAAAGTGATGACATACACAGATATATGTATTCCTTTATATTTATATTATAAATATATATGGGATATATATATATATATATATATATATATATATATATATATCCACAAAAAGGCCTATTTACAAAAATGACTCTATTTATGTAAAATATTCAGAATAGGTAAAATCATAGATACAGAATGCACATTGATGGTTGCCAGGGTCGGTGAAAAATGGGGAGCAACTGCTTAATGAGTACAGGTTTCCTTCTGGGATAACGGAAATGTTTTGGAACTAGCTAAAAGTGATGGTTGAGCAACATTGTGAACATTGTAAATGCCATGCATTGCTTACTTTAAAATGGTGAATTTATTATGTCAATTTCACCTCAAAAATTTTTAAAAACCTGATGACTTGTATCTGTGGTAGCTGTCTCACCGCGAGCCCTGCCAGCTCACCTCCCCGGTACTCGGTGTTGTTCCGCCAGTCATTTAGGTCGATTTCTGCTGTGCCCGCTATCACCAGCTCCAGTTCCCTGGCATCGAACACGGAGACAAGCCTAGAGTCTATGACCTGAAATACAGATGAGGCTTCAGTGTACAGGTCCAACCACATGGAAAGTTCTATTCATTATTATTATTTCTGTGGTTTAAGCTGGGAAACTGATCATCATTTACAACTTTTTTCCCCCAATGTGCTATTATTGCGACTTACACATTTTGAAATACAAACCATTCATAAGCTGGGAATCAAAACAGGCCCCATGCTGGCCCGCCCGGCTGGCGTGGCTCAGTGGTTGAGCGTTGACCTATGAACCAAGAGATCATGGTTTGATTCCCAGCTTGGGCATATGCCCAGGTGGCAGGATCGATCCCCAGTGTGGGGCATGCAGGAGGCAGCCCATCAATGATTCTGTCTCCTCATTGATGTTTCTTTCTCTCTCTCCCTCTCCCTTCCTCTCTGAAATCAATAAAAATATATATATTTTAAAAAGGCCCCATGCTTTTCATTACCTCTGATACTGCCCCACCCCAATGATGTTATGAACAAACCTGACTTGACTTTCCTAGTCACATTTAAATATTCAAGTAAATTTGCATTTTAAAGACATAAAGGTCTAAATCACTTTGAAGTGACTCAATAGCTATTAGTACTACTTCACTTAAAAAGTATCTTCTCTTCCACATCAAACTTATTTCCTAGGAATGAGCACTAAGAGCATTATATTTTTCTTTCCTTTTCCCCCTCACTTCTGTTCTCCCTTATTCAAAGATCTGGGAGCACCTGCTTTGTTAGGGTTCTGAACTCTGGCTTTCTGTCTCCTGGTCATATGTACCAGGCATAACTGAACATCTATAGTGGGTACCAGCTTTAACCAAACCAGTGGTGGGTGAGCCAGTGACCCATCCTGTACTTCACTATGGCAGGGAAAGAAGACCCAAGCCCTGAAAAAACATTGACAGCCTCTTGTTTTTAAACTGGAAAAGTTTGAGGATGCCAATTTTTGGTGCACAGAAAGGCTAGCAGCTGTCATTGTCCCCTTGATTTACAACCGTGGCATTCATTATATGACACAAAGTGGCACTGTAACAAAGAAAAAATCTAGCCAGAGTGGACAGTGCCTGCCAACGACTTCACTTCTTTTATCTTAATTTCATTGAATGAAAGGAAGTGCAACATGCACAGGAGATGTTGCATGTTTTCACACCTGGCACACCAGGGCCACACCAACACCAATTTTGTGAGAGCATTTTTTAATCTACCAGAAGAGTTGGGTATCCCAGGGAACTCTGACCTCTCATTGATCCACCTTGCACTCTGGTGAGTACAGCTGAGCCCTTTGCCTGCCTTGTATTCTCCCTTTGCCTCACCAGCTGTGTCCAGTGGTGAAGGCTTTGGCCAAAGCCCTGCCTTCTTCAGTCAGGCCTGGGCCTTACCTCATAAAAGCCCCGCACCAGGGCCTCTGTCTGCTGCACCACACCACGTTCCACCCGCCACTTCACCATCCTCTCGATGTACTCCTTCTTGTTCTTTTCCGTCACCTGGGTGTTGGCTCCTCCAGATTTTAACTCCCTTTCTGTTACCTTGTAGGAAAACAGAAAGATTGTGATGCTTATTACCTAAGCTCACAGTAAGACATGCAAATTTTAGGTGGATGAACTAGATACACAAAGTCCTCTTCACATCAGTTCAGTGTTAATACTTCCTTACTTATTATCTTTTCCTGGAAGTTACTAAAAAGATTCTGGCCCTAGCTAGTTTGGCTTAGTGGATAGAAAATCGGCCTGGGGACTTAAGGGTCTGGAGTTTGATTCCGGTCAAGGGCACACACCTCAGTTGTGCAGGAAGCAACCAATCGATGTGTCTCTCTAACATCGATGTTTCTCTCTGTTTCTCCTCCTCCCTCCCACTCTCTCTAAAAATAATTGGAAGCAAAATAGCATAGGTGGAGCAGACAATTTTTAGAGACAGGTAAAATAGTGACTGAAGAATGACAGCTTGACCTTGAGAAAAGAAACAGAGAATGACATTGCCACTTAGTATGGTGACGCATGTTTGTTAGGACAAGTTCGAATCATCAAGAAAAGTTATGAGTAGGAGATCCAAGGTGGTGGCAGACTAGGTGGATATTACACTCACCACCTCCCAGGACCAAACTGAAATTATAACTAAAATGTAGAAAAATTAACCTGAATAACCAACTGAAGATTAGCTGAACAGAAGTCTTACAACCAAGGATAACCAAGAAAAAGCCGTATCAAGACTGCGCCAAAGGGACTGCATAGGTCTAGTGACAAGCAGCGTCTGACATTAGCCCAAATCAGACTCCCTCCAGAGAAACTCCAAAGCCAACACTCCCAGTGACCAGCTTTAGACAACATCAAAGCAGGACCCAATTAGCTTCACAAGTGGCGTATTCAAAGGGAGATCTTGACAGGCTCTAGATCAGTGATGGCGAACCTTTTGAGCTCGGTGTGTCAGCATTTTGAAAAACCCTAACTTAACTCTGGTGCCATCTCACATATAGAAATTTTTTGATATTTGCAACCATAGTAAAACAAAGACTTATATTTTTGATATTTATTTTATATATTTAAATGCCATTTAACAAAGAAAACTCAACCAAAAAAAATGAGTTCGCGTGTCACCTCTGACACGCGTGTCATAGGTTCGCCATCACTGCTCTAGAACATACTCAGGCCAGGTGTATGTTTTCACACCTGACACACCAACGCCAATTGTTGAGGCACTGTGAGGCCCTGGTGTGCCAGGTGTGAAAACATGCTGCTTTGTGTGACCAGGACCTGCACAGCAACTCCTACACTGTGGATGGGGTTGATCTCTGTCAGCAAGCCTGAGGGTCGACTCCACACACAAATGGGCCAATAGCAATCAAGACTTCCATTTAGCTCGATAGCAGGCAGTTCTGAATGATGGTTGTTCTGTAGTTTAGTTGTAGTTTTGACGTGGTTGTGGGAGGAGGCGAGTACTACGCTGCCATCTTGGCTGGAGCCCTCTGGGAGTTTATTTTAGTGTAATGACTTAAGTTAGAATTCTAACTTAAAAAATGTTATTATTGCTACCCAGTTGTCTTAACACAATTTTCTAAGAAGTTGCATTTATTTTACAAATTTACCCTCCACTGTAGAGCAAATGTAAAGGATGGGCAAAAAGTAATTATGCACAAGAAACAGCATATTTTACACATTCATCTAGTACATGGCAGGACAGGAAAGTGAATCATATATTTTTGAACATATTTAAATGTGCTTTTCATAGTTGTAGGAAGAATATTTTTTCCTTAAAAATGTAAATGAATATTCTTCAGAGGTGTGTTTATACAAATAAAACAGAATATTGACATTTTCTAGGACCTATTCAAGATTCTTGATTGACATGTGGGTGCCGTGTGGACTGCAAGGTTCAGTGGGTAACTCCCATCCATAGACTCAGCACATTGTCCATATTCATGCAAGTTACTTATAAAGTACCCTCACTTAATTCTCAAAACAACCTTATTACAAATTACCACATGTCATGGGCTGTTTGGGTCTCTTGTAAATGATATTCTGAAAACTTTAATTATTAAATCTGCTCAGGCTATAGTTAGCCTGGTAAAACTGTAACGCAGAAGATTCAGTGTTACATAAATGCTGGTGGAAAACAAATGGGAAGCTTTATTTAAATACTATGGAAATATAAATTTTGGAGGATAAATATCTAGATGTTAGCTATAAAATTTTTGCAGCTGCAAAAAATAACAGAAATATTTTAAATATTATTACACACTTTACAAAAATGCTTTTAAATCAATTATCATACTTGGTTTTCAAAAACTCTATAGAGATCCATGTCATAATGAGAAAAAGAAGGGAAAAGATATGGGCAGCCTTTTAAAGAATGCAGTGCTCAGCCCTAGCTGGTTTGGCTCAGTGGATAGAGCGTTGGCCTGCGAACTAAAGGGTCTTGGGTTCGATTCCAGTCAAGGGCACATGCTTGGGTTGCCGGCTCGATCCTCAGTAGGGAGTGTGCAGGAGGCAGCCAATCAGTAATTCCCTCTCATTATTGATGTTTCTATCTCTCTCTCCCCCTCTTCCTACCTTTCTGAAATCAATAAAAATATATTAAAGAAATATAGTGCTCAAAGAATTAAATTTTGAATAAACAAAATTTGTTTTCTACTTCAAAAATCAAATCCCATTACTATATCATCCTATATAATAAAAGCCCAATATGCTAAGTGTCCGACTGTTCATTTGACCATTTGACCAGTCGCTATGACACACACTGACCACTAGGAGGCAGATGCTCCAACCGGCAGGAGTCCAGCTGATGGGGACTAGGCAAGATGGGCCGGACACACCCTGGAGCCCTCCTGTGGTTCCGCCCCGGCCCTGAACATGCACCAGTGGGGTCCCTCAGCCTGACCTGCACCCTCTTGCAATCTGGGACCCCTCAGGGGATGTTGGAGAGCCAGTTTCAGCCAGATGTACGAATCTGTGCACTGGGCCTCTAGTTACTATATAATCCAGCAATCTCACTTCTGGGTATATATCCAAAAGAATTAAAAGCAGGGACTCAAACGGATATTTGTACACCTATGTTCATAGCACATTATTCACAGTAGTCAAAAGGTAGAAGCAACTCAAGTGTCCGTCAACAGATGAATCAATAAACAAAATGTAACACACACACACACACACACACACACACACACACACACACACACACAAAGTGGGATGTTATCCAGTCCTACAAAAGAAGAAAATACTTCCACATGTATAACATGGATGAACCTTGAGGGTATTATGCCAACTTAAATGAGTCAGTGACAAAAATAAAAATACTTTATGATTCTACTTATATGAGTTATCTAGTATAGCCAAATTCATAAAAAGAAAATGTAGACTTTTGCTTATAAGGTGCAGGGAAGAAGGAGAAATGGGGAATTGTTTAATGGGTACTATGTCAGGTTTGCAAGATGATGTATTTCAGAAGAGGAGGGGAGAACGGAAAGAGACTAAACAAAGAACTTATATGCATATATGCATAGTCTGTGGACAAATATTAGTGTGGGGAAGGCCTGGGGAGGAGGGAGGGAGTGGGGTAGAAGGGGTCAACGGTGGGGGGGCTGGGGGGTGGGGGGGCTGGAAGGACATTTGTAATAGTTTGAACAATAAAGTTTTTAAGAAAAGAAAAAGAAAAAGTTCTGGGGATAGTTGCACAACAATGTCAATATTCTTAACAATATTGAACTATACACTTAAAAGTTGTTAAAATGGTAAATTTTATGTTATGTTAATTTTTCACAATAAAAAACAAAATCTCTTTTCCAAGCCCCACATCTTACAAACCTGTCCAAAAACCTCTTCATTCACAGTGAAAGTGAGATCTAGGATATCTGTGATGTTGTTGTCCTTCATCCACTGCAAGCTCTGGTGGAATTCCTCATCCAAATATTCCAGGTCACTTAAATCACAGGGCCTGCGTCCACAGGGAGAAAGGAAAACAAATGGCTGTCCAGACCTCATTTCAAAATGTCTTTATGCCCCTCCTGGCTAAAACAACACAGACTTGTTCTAACAATGTGATACTTTTGAATATATTTATGTATCTTTTACTCTTTTAAAAACAAAATATTAAAATATCTATAATAATAAAAATAAAATAATTATTGACACATGAACTTGGAGAAAAGTATTATTTAAAAACATCTAAGTTTTAGACAGATCAATACTACTTAGTAATTCAATAAAATGTAATTATTTATGCAAACTAATTATTTATGAAAACGAATTCATATCCATTATATAATGTTATAATAGGCTTCCACTATGCTTGCATACCATCTCCAAATGCCTTTTTTTTGTACTAACAGGTTTATGTGATATCTAAGGACTCAGAAAAATAAACTACCATAAACCGAATAGGAATTGTTAGGCAAAATAGGGACAAAAGGGCTAGAGGGTCTAGGGAGGCCAGCAGCTGTCGTCCTGCAGGTGCGGCCAGATGGACTCTGGTTTGCAGTACACTTACAGTCTCAGGAGCGCCTTATAGAAGGGCCTTGTGAAGAAGGCGTCGAGAAGGTACTGATGAATCAGAGCCAGGCCTAGGATACGACCACTAAACCTGAACCTGGAACACAAACAAGGTGGAGATTTAAGGCAGGTGGAAATTTACATGGTTAAATATGTTAATTTGTACTTTTATTTGATGTGTTTCTTTATAGCACTCATCTGAAGCTACTTAAGGAATCAAATGGTGACACATGGAAGGCACATTCTCCTCCTTACTCTTTACCATAAACAACACCTATGTGCTTGGTATGTACTAAAGGAACTCTTCTCGCCCTCAGTTACCAGAATGGAGTAATTTTGCCAGGAGCTTCTTTTCAGACCTGAGAGTATAAGAAGCCAAGAGAAGAAAAGCACTGGTGAAGGGGAATTATGGACAAACAGCCCACATTGACCCTGAGGAAGACCTAAACCCAAGGCCATGGAAAGTCTTCTAGACCATGCATCCTTACCTAGTAAAGCATCCTGGAGAAACCACCTGAAGGTTAATGTGTGTCTAATACAGATGGCAGTTGAGCTCAAGGTCAGTGGGAAGAATTACACAGAATCACACTGTGGTAGGCAATAAGCAGAGCCTCCAGCGGTGAATACATTTTCCCATATAGTGGGTTCCCTTTTAATTTTGTGGATGGTTTCCTTTGTTGTGCAGAAACATTTTGGTTTAATATAGTCCCACTTGTTTATTTTTCCCTTTGTTTGCCTTGCGCTAGGAGGTGTATGAGTGAAAATCCTGCTACATGAGATGTCTGAGATTTTACTGCCTATTTTCATTGTTTCACAACTTACATTTAAATCTTTCATCCATTATGAGTTTATTCCCGTGTATGGTGTAAGTTGGTATAGAAGCATTTTTTCCCCATGTACCTGTCTAATTTTCTGAACACCACTTATTTAAGTGACTGTCTTTACTCCATTGTATGCTTTGCCTCCTTTGTCAAATATTAATTTCCCATAATGGCATGGGTCAGTTTCTGGGGTCTCTGTACATTGATCGATATGCCTGCTCTTGTGCCAGTATCAGGCTGTTTTGATTACAATGGCTTTGGAGTATAATTTGAGATCCAAAACTGTAATCCATCCAACTTTGCTCCTTTTTCTCAAGATTGCTATGTCTCTTTGGTGTTATTTTTGTTTCATATACATTTTTGGAATATGTTGTGCATCTGTGAAATATGAACATCAGTGTATATCTGGATGTTAATTTTGTATCTTGCTATTTTGCCAAATTCATTTATTATGTCTAATAGTTTTTTGGTGTAGTCTTTAGGGTTCTCTACATACAGTATCATATCATCTGCAAGTAATGGCGGTTTTATTTCTTCCTTTCCCATTTGGATACCATTTATTTTTTCTTACTGTCTGATTGTTCTGGCCAGGACCTCCAGTGCTACGTTGAATAAGAGTGTTGGAAGTGCACTCTCTGTCACTTTGCTGATCTTAAGGGAAATGCTTTTAATTTTTTCCCATTGAATATGATGTGGGTTGTGAATTTGTCATATATGGCCTTTATTACATTGAGGTATGTTTTCTCTATTCCCACTTTGCCGAGAGTGATTACTATAAACTAGAAGCCCGATGCACGAAATTCTTGCAAAGGGCTCAGCCCTTGCAGCTGCCGCGGCTGCCTTGGCCCTCGTAGCCCTGGCTTTGTCCAGAAGGTCATTCAGCTGTCCGGTCTAATTAGCATATTATGCTTTTATTATTATAGATGGGTGTTGGATTTTATCAAATGCTTTTATTGCATCTATTTACATGATCATGTAATTTTTATCTCTTTTTGTTTATATGGTGTATCATGTTCTTTAATTTGCAGATATTATACCAACCTTGCATCTCTGAATGAATCACACTTGGTCATGGTGTATGGTCTTTTTAATATACAGCTGGATCCATTTTGCTAATATTTTGTTGAGGATACTAGTGTTTATGTTCGTCAGAGATATTGGGCTATGATTTTCTTTCTTTGTGGTGTCTTTTTTTGGTTTTGGTGTTAGGATAATACTGGCCTCATAAAATAAGCTTTGGAATCTTTTCTCCTCTTGATATTTTTGAAGTAGTGTGAGATGGATAGGTGTTAGATTTTCTTTGAATGTTTTGTAAAATTTACCTGTGAAATCATCCAGTCCAGGACATTGTTTGTTGGGAGCTTTTTTCCTTATTGAATTTATTGGGGTGACTTATGATTTTGTATTATAATTATTGGTTCATTTATGTGTTCTTCCTACTACACCTCTTTCAGGGAAGAGATCTTACTCATTTCATGTTTGTATCCTCCCAGCATATAGTATGTGCTTAGTTTATAATTGCTAAATTAGTAAAGGTATCCCCACAACATCTAGCATAGTCCCATATGGTATGATATTTGATGAAAATATTTCTTTTCTGGTTACAGATTCCAATTCATGGCCTCGATGACGCCATCTTAAATTTCATGCTCACAAATTAAGAGATAACTGAGGGATTATATTAAGTATAATCTGTGTATATATGTATTTTTATATTGGTTATAGCACTCTCTAACCCTGTCTAAATGTGACCTAAGTAAGAGCTGGCATTCAATTCTCAGGGTCATAAATTCCCTGGCCATATCTTGCCTGCTCTGTCTTCCTGTTTCTGTGTTTCTGTCTCATAGGTTTCTTCATCACTTTATTGAGAGTGACAGAAAAAGAAATGACAGGAGAAGGACAACTTTTGTTTTATCACTTGTGTCAAATGCTTGATGTAGACTCATTCCTACCTCAGCTCAAAAACTACAGAGATGAGCCTATTTGAAGAGAGCTGGCATGGCAATAGCTACACACCTTGGCAGAGGTGGATTATTTGATGCTACAAAACCAAAATACAGGAATTTGGCCTGTAAGTCCAGTAGGCCCAGGTATCACCTCAGAAACTCCCATCACCAGCAGCCATTGCAACATATCATAAGTAAACAATGTCACAACAATCACACTAGCAATTTTCAGGACTCATTTCTTTATGAAGTCCTGGAACTCCTGCAGTGAGAACAGGGGTAATTTTCAAATCAGGTGTTGTGGAGACACAGCAAGAAAGTGCATGCGTACTTCATTTCCCATGCAGATTTCTGGAGGCTTCTAATACTTGAAGTATCTTCCCTACAGAACTATATGGAAAACCAAAGAGATAACTGGATTTTTGAGTCAGAAGGACACATAGAGATCATGTGACCCAACAGCTTTATTTTACAATAAGATATAGAAGCTGATGTCCACAGTGCTAAAGCTATTGGTCCAAAAGTGTACAAGTGTCAAAGAATTTCAAACCCATATATATCTCCAAGGAGCCTCCACTGGGGACTCCTAATTTTAGTAGAATTATCAACATTTAGGACCTCAGAAGGCAATTACTGTTTCTTACATAAATTTGAAGTGGTCATTAAAGTTGCAGTGTCTTTAGTATTTATTTTGTATTCTGGATTAAGACTAACAGAAAGTCTTCTTTCTAGTGCTTTGCTATTCACTCTCATCACCCCTCATTCTATCTGGCCCACTGCTCTAAAAACTGTTGCCCTCTGACTAAGAAAGACTAAAACTTGCAAACATAAGAAAGCAAAAATTCTAGATCTTACCATTCTAGATGGTTTTCCACAAATGCAGACATGGGACTGATTTGCACCGTGTAGGTATCATTTGCAGAATACTCAAAGAGTCCGTAGTAAGGGTTGAAGAGCTCCTGAGACAAAAGGAAGAAGAACTCCCGCGAAGGACCACTGTAATCCAGGCTGTGGAGGAAGCAGAGGCCCAGGAATCTATTATGAACAGGAAGCAAGGGGACTTACCTCTATCTGGGTGCTAGTGTGCTCTTTCAGAGTCAGTACTGGGGAATGTCAAGAGCAGCCTTGGCTCTTTTGAGTGGAAGCCAACGGAAGTATTAATTTGCCATAGAAAAATGAGGATGTGGTCATTGGTTTGGGGAAGTTCTTACTCAGATTTCCATAAGTGAAGTCTTACGGCAATGTTCCTTAACCTTTCCTCTTTTTTTGTTTTTTAAATTATATAACAACTGTTGGATAAAACACACAGCTGGCCCATTAAAAACAAAGACTGTTGGGGGAGGCACAAGAGAATTTCCTGTGACCGTGTGTGTATGTGTGCATATGTGCATATGTGTGAATTAAAAAGTTTCCAAGTTCATTCTGATATGCCCTCTGAGGTGGGTTTGCCCTCTATGGTCGAGATGATTTTCCATGAAGTCACTCAAATCATATAACAAATTTGGTATATAGTTGTATAGGTGCACTTTAGGAGGAAGAGTTTTTTTATTAGATACTCAAAAGTGTACACCACTTGAAAAAGTAAAGATCCAGTAGTTTTGGTTTATACTTTGATCATGTACCTCAGACTCTAGTACCTGTCACTAATCTTAGGCTTTTAAAGAAATGAAATCTCAAGCTTGGCAATACCTGGAGAAAGACCTCCTAGAAGGCCACAATTAGAATCACTTTGGGGCAAAGGCTTAGGGCCACTCTGCTTCTTTTTTGAGAAAAATCACCCAAGACCCAGGAGCTTGGTCCACCACATTGAAGTGTCTGCATAAAACTACTGGTGCCTCACCCCTCTTCTCCAACAAAGGTGACGTAGAGTTTGTTTCGCTGGAGCTCTTTCCGGGAATAGGCCATCACCTGATTGAAGGTTCCTTCCAACAAGTGGTCCCGGCGAATGATGAGCCTAGGAAGGAGTAAAAGCCACATGGGTGATGAGTAGTGGCTCGAAGCTCTGCCGTTGGACAGTATTCTAGGTGAGACATGAGTGCCCAGGTCTCATTCCCTAGACTCTCCATGAATGTGCAGATTCCATCAGTTGAGAGATGGACTTTTAAAAAATACTCTTTTTAAACCATTGACAGCACAAGGACAATGTGTATGCTTTTATAATCAGACTAGAGGCTCGATGCACAATATTAGTGCACGGAGGGGAGGGTCCTTCAGCCCAGCCTGCACCCTCTCACAATCCGGGACCACTGGCTCCTAACTGCTCACCTGCCTGCCTGCCTGATCGCCCCTAACCACTCTGCTTGCCTGCCTGATCACCACTAACCACTCGCCTGCCTGCCTGATGACTCCTAACCACTCATCTGCCTGCCTGATCGCCCCTAACCACTTGTCTGTCTGCCTGATCGCCCCTAACCGCCTCTGCCTCTGCCTCTGCTGCTGCAGCTTCGTCCGGAATGACATCCGGAAGGTTGTTCAGCTGTCCGGTCTAATTAGCATATTATGCTTTTATTATTATACATTCCATCCTATTGGACTTGTTTTTTGTTTTTTTATCAATTAAAAAAACCTTTTCAATTGGATTCCTGAGTTTGGGTTTGGCTTTTCAAAAACAAAACAAAAACACAAAACCCAGAAGGAGAAAAACCCACAACTTTTTACTTAGCCTCCTATTACAAAATTACAAAGAGCCCATGAATTTGACTAATGAGTTATATGATGTGTCCCAAGAAAAAGTAAAGGAATATACGATTTTTAAAATTTAGATCAAGATTCATTGTTTTCTGAAAAGGTCTACCATTGACTTTACATATGCCTTTGTCTGAAATCTACTGTTTTTTTTCTTTCTGGCCCGTCTCTTCCCTTCCCTTTCTGCCTCCTCTTCAATTTCTTAACTTCCGTTCTTCTTTCTTCTTAACTTCATAAATTTTTTCTTTCTCTTTACTATGAAAATAACTTTTACCACACCATGGTATCCAATTTCCAAAATAATATTACAAAGGTATAAAGGAGAAAAAGATAGCTGAAACCGGTTTGGCTCAGTGGATAGAGCGTCGGCCTGTGGACTGAAGGGTCCCGGGTTCGATTCCGGTCAGGGGCATGTGCCTGGGTTGCGGGCACATCCCCAGTGGGAGATGTGCAGGAGGCAGCTGATCGATGTTTCTCTCTCATCGATGTTTCTAGCTCTCTATCTCTCTCCTTTCCTCTCTGTAAAAAATCAATAAAATATATTTAAAAAAAAAAAAAGGAGAAAAAGATAAAAAAATCTACCCTCTGCATTCAGTGTCAAGTACTGGAGCACTTACTTAATTTTCCCTGGACCCTGACCAAATCCTTTGGCTTCCAGTTTCCGGTAGAAATTCCGGAGCTTGGCCTCAAAGTCTCTCCGGTAGGGCGAAGGGGCTCGTGCACTGGCTCTCTGTAAACCTGCAGAGAGAAGTACATGGGCTGAGGGTCAACACTGTTTGTCAAAGAACAAACACATCGAGCAGCGGTAGAGGAAGGGCCAATCAGAGGCATATTCATGTGTCTTCATATTTTTTTCTCCAAGAAGTTTCCCTTAATTTCTATTACTCCTTCAATTACTTTTACAATAAGTAGAAATAAGATAATACCAAAAAAATTCTCCTGACAAGAAATATTTATGTCTTCCACTACATTTCAAGTTATATTTCTCCTATAAATTCTTTGATGAGCATATTTATTGGCTTAATTGCACTTAAATAATCTAAAACAACATAAACAAAACTATGATTGTTTTAGATTAAAAGATTAAACTTTTTTTGTAAGTCACTCTAAGAAGTGATTGTAACTCTAATGAGGCAGCTGTAATATATGCATATGTTGTATTTCTCTAAGTATATTGATATTGATGCTAAAATTGAAGGATCTATTATCCTTTGAGATAGCATGGAGGTACCTGGAGATTAATATGTTAAGTGAAACAAACCAGTCAGAGAAAGACAAATATCTTTTACTATTGCTGGTACTGCCACTATCCCCATGGTCACTTCTATGCATTTTGCAAAGTACTTTGGCATAAAAATCTATGATTCTGAATCTCTGTAGCATCCAGGTAAATTTAATAAAAGTCTAGAAAATGAGAATTGTAAAACTTAATATTACTATATTTGGATCACATAATCTAGGACCCTATCGTCAAAGCCAAGAGGATAAATAATTAAGTAATCTGAAAAAAATGAACTGGATGAGTGCTTGGACTCATGGCATCAGTAATATCTTTATCAGGAAAGTTGAGTCTTTTTATAAAAGTTATCCAAATATATCTCATTTAGCAAATAACTCTTGTCTCCTTTTTCCATTTCCAATATGATATCTCTCACATATAGTGATGTTAAAATCATACTCTATTGCCAAAGTTTGGACCAAAGTGTAGACAGGTTACAACACTGGGACAATCACTACAACAAAATGGCAGATCATCATCAGCTTCTCCCAATGGAAGGCTCTGCTCCCCAAAAGTAAGGCACCCTGTGCACACCGAAGACGATCGTTCTGGCTCTGACAAAGCTCTGCTCCACCTTCCCCAGGTCATGGCACCTCAGTTACATTGTAAGTCACAGGAAACAGCATTAGGCATTTCCTCAACAATGTCATTGGTACACTTGTTTGGAGGAAGTAACAACAGGGAGATACTGACTTAAAAACCGAGTTTAACAATGAACAAAAACACCTCTAAGAGAGTTTCAAGTGACATGACTTGGAGGAGCCAAACCAAAAAACATTCTAGTTTTAGCGACTATAGCAGCATTGAGTGATGCTGTCACACCCTTTTTGAGGGACAGAGAATTTTGCTAAATTCTGTTTCTCTTCTGAATTTCTCCATCCACTTTTTATTATTATTATTTTTTAAAAATATATATTTTATTGATTTTTTACAGAGAGGAAGGGAGAGGGATAGAGAGCTAGAAACATCGATGAGAGAGAAACATCGACCAGCTGCCTCCTGCACACCTCCCACTGGGGATGTGCCCGCAACCAAAGTACATGCCCTTGACTGGAATCGAACCTGGGACCCTTCAGTCCACAGGCTGACGCTCCATCCACTGAGCCAAACCGGTTTGGCTCTCCATCCACTTTAGAAGCCAAACTTGGACTCTGACTCTTGAGGTTGTGAGATAAAAAGTTACCAGATATTTCAAACTAACTTCCTTTACTTTTAAAGTTATATAAAAATTGGGTTATCCCTGATACCTGCAACAATGTGATAATGCTAACTAACAAATGGGGGAAAGTCTCCAAAATCTGGTCATGTTTGGGGGTATGGTTTTTACTTAATTGTTGTGATGAACATAGAAAATAGTATCTTCCTTTTTCAATAAACAGTCTAATATATATTTCCTCATTGGGAATGAAAAATATCGACAAAGATTTTTTGTATCATGAGTAAATCATTCTAATACATAAAGAAAACTTCAGGGGAACCATTTCATACCATGTAAGAAAACTCTTTGGCATCTTCCTGGGGATGTATGGTGGTCCCTACTAACCTAGTACCTTCTTTATATATCCTAGTAACTTCTTTACAACATGAGAAAAGTTGCCAAAATTGATATCTATTAACATTCTGAGTCATAAGGATGAAGGTTTCATAAAGGGCTCTTCCCTTTTAAGTTAAAAAATATATACTTTAATTGATTTCAGAGAAGAAGAGAGAGGAAGAGAGAGATAGAAATATCAATGGTGAGAGAGAATCATTGATCGGCTGCCTCTTGCACCACACTGGGGATGGAGCCTGCAACCCAGGTATATGCCCTGACCAGGAATCGGACCGTGACCTCCTGGTTCATAGGTTGATGCTCAACAACTGAGCTACACTGGCTGAGCCCCTTTAAGTTCGTATAGAATGCATTTGGAATGTAATAGAAATTTAGAGCAGGGGTCTGGCAGACAGATAGTAAATCGTTTAGGGTTTTGGGGTCATATGGTCTCTGTCACTACTGCTCACACCTGCTGTTGCCATTAAAAATACTTAAACCAGTATGATTGGGTTCCACTAAAATTTTATTTATAGGCATTGAAATTTGAATTTCACATAATTTATACATGTCATGAAATCCTGGTTTTGCAAAAAAAAAAAAAATTCAAACCATTTGAAATGTAAAATGCATTCAAGTCTCGGGGCATTACAAAAACAGGTGGCAGAGAGACAGGCAAGCATACAACCGTCCTTCTTTCACCATCATCTGGTAGAAACACAGGTGGCCACTTACAGGAGAGACCCTGCCAGCCTCTCAAGTTACCTGGGGAGTTCTGAGGTGAGGAGCAGGGTGAACAGCGAGGAGAGAAGCTGTACCCTGGGTGGAAGGCAGCTTGCAGGGGGATGTAGGACATAATCTCTTCTTCAAAGAGACTGCAAAGAAAAAAAAAAGAGTTTATTTTCTGTCCATGAGAGAGTACTCATGAATCAGCGTAATAGCAGTTACAGTCCTCACAAAGCAACAAAACACTCACATTCAGCATACTACATAGTATTTAAAAGATAGGCACAATGGGGTGATAAGGACACATACGTAATACCTTAATCAATCAAGAAAAAAAAGAGATAGGCACACCCCAGCACGCAAATTCTGTGTTATTTTTTTTTCTGTGTTATTTTAAACCCTAATTAATACTACAACGAAGTCTCTATCAAGTACTATATTCAGCTCTTGCTACCTGAACTGTAAATGTAAAGAAGGCCGTGGATGGGGGCCCTTTTCAGCTCTGGTCACTAGAAACCTCTAGAGCAAATGGTGAGTGTTCCAGCCGGGCGTAGTGAAGAACTGCCCAGGGCAGCTTTTCCAGAATTGCTCCAGGCTTAGCCTCTTACCTCAGCAAAATAACTAGATCTGCATCACAGGACAACTTTTCCAGCCCATTATTACCCTCAGTCCGAATGTAATGGATTTTCTCCCTAAAATAATGTGGAAAAGAAAAGAGTTACACCACAACTCAGAAGCCAAGGAATGAATCCTTTTCTGATCCCTTTTTCTCTCTCTTCCAATGTGGCTGAGCAGCGATGTCCTAATTAGTGTCAAGTATACTAGTATCTTGGTATTTAAAGTTCGTATTGCAGGTTCCCAGGATACTCTACAACAGTGATGGCGAACCTATGACACGCGTGTCAGAGGTGACACGCGAACTCATTTTTTTGGTTGATTTTTCTTTGTTAAATGGCATTTAAATATATAAAATAAATATCAAAAATATAAGTCTTTGTTTTACTATGGTTGCAAATATCAAAAAATTTCTATATGTGACACGGCACCAGAGTTAAGTTAGGGTTTTTCAAAATGCTGACACGCCGAGCTCAAAAGTTTTGCTATCACTGCTCTACAAGGAATCCCCTCTCCCCAGACTCACAGGGACAGAAGCTAAGGAACACAACGAAGGTAGGTCCTTGAAGAGCCATGGCCATCGGGAGTGGAGCTGGACTAGGAGAGCGGCTGAAGGACTGTGGTGGGCTCAGGACATCTTGGAGGTCATGGAAAGAGAGTGAGGAGCCTTATGCCTGATGGGAAATGTGTAAGGCACGCTGGGCACCAAGAGAGTCTGACCTCCAGAACACGCGAGAGTCTCCCGATGGTCCGAGCACAGGCCTACATTTCTCTCTGTTTGATTGCAGTTTATACATTCTGACCTTTTTCCACAATCTCCAACTCTAACCTGGCAAATTATTCCAATAAGTCTATGGATAAATAGCTTTTTTTTTTTGATCA